CTGCCTGAGTACACTGTATGTTTTTACTTTACTGTATGTACTGTATAGGGTTTTTTGCAGCTTGGTGGGGGGGTAGGGCATTGTTTTAAAATCTCTGTGCCTGTGCTTAAAATGTGGATCCAGAGTCTTTTTGTGCTGAAGGAATGGCTGCTGGGTTCTGTGCCATGCTGTGGGGGGATTATGTTTCTGTTTTCTGATGGGTCCTGAAAGGTGCTTTGTTTAAAAGGTGTTCCCTCCCTCCTTTGCTGCCCCCTTTTTCCTCAAAGGGTGCTTGTCTTGGCTGAAAAGGTGCTTTTCAAGGTGTTCTGTTGAAAAGGTGTCTGTTCCCTCCTTCCCTCCCTCCCTCCCTCTTTTCTTTCCTCTTTTTTAAACTAAGTCATCTTAGGTTAAAAGGGAAAAAAGAAAAAAACTGCCCCTACTGGTAGGAACGGATTAACTGGCTTTGCATTAGTTACTACGGGAACTAATGATTCGCGTTTCAAACCGCCCCTCGACCTAAGAACCAAAAACAGCCGGAACAGATTAATTGGTTTTCAGTGCATACCTGTGGGAAATGCTGATTCGAGTTACAAAATTTTCAACTTATGAACTTCCTTCCAGAATGGATTAAGTTTGTAAGTTGAGGATTGACTATATTCAAAGACTATTCTCAGTGTTTAAAAAACCATTTTAATTTTCCAGGAATCACCCCATAGTCTGCAGGGAGAGGTTGACCACCCCTTAATAATAATCCACAAAGTAGACAACTCTCATAAGGCCTATAAACTTTTGAAAAAAGTTTGCAAATTAAAGACCTTCTTCACCTTCCAGCCATTCTGTGCTGAAACCTTTCAATAAATGTATACTGGTGAGCGTATGTTTTATTTTTGTATTTCACAGAATGATCCATGGAGGTTGACCATTGGTTAAGGTGATGATGTGTAGAAATATTACCTGGTAAATCTTCGAGCGACCCTCAGGGTGGAAATACAACTTAACAATCTCTAAAAACTGTATGGGTTACTTCCTGGAAAATCAAAATAGATTTTAACACAGAGACAGATTCTAGGAAAAGGCCATGAATATAAAAATGTGGATTTTTTTTACTTTGAATAGTCTTAAAGCAGTTTTACTAAATGTGGGTTTTTATTTTTATTTTTGTACTGTTCAACTTATTGCAGATTTTCCTTGTCTGCCATCATCTCCAAACCAGCCCAGTCTCTGCAAAGAGTGGCAAGTGCACGCAGAAGGGCCCCGAAATCATCGCTGTGGAGTTTCAGACCCATGAGACCTAAGAGCATGCCAAGGCATGCCCTATGGCTAACCTTTTCTAGCCAAACCCCTCCAACCTCCTCCCATTGGCCTACAGTACCGTGGGGATGACAAGTTACTTTGGGGTCAATTCTGAGGCTGCTCTCTGATCACGGGGGACTCCTGCATCTATCAACCCCTCCTGTAGGTCCACGGTGACCTCAACAACCCCTTACGTCAACCTAAAGCCCCCGCCCAAAACAGGGGGAGGAGCCTGAGTCAGTTCTTGGCCCTTTGTCCCACCTCAGAGGGGTGTGGCACCTGTCAAAAATGAGTTTGATGAAGGCTACCTCTTTATACTATTCCCATGTGTCCTACTGTATACAGGACTCTTCTTTAAGGCCATCAACTGCAAATCCAATTCCAGTGTAAAGATAACCAGCCATAAGAAGAAAGAGCAAGGGGTTTGAAATTGGCCATCAGCAGTTGCCGTTGGCTGAGAACACTCTGAGTTGGCAGGCTCACGGGTCACTTGGTCATGATCCTCTCTAGTATGGTGAGATATATTGCATTTTTATTCCCATTATAATAATCAAGCAGGATCTAGATGCAGTCATATTCAGAGCAAGTCATTTGAAACAGGGGACAGAATCTTTTAATATAAGTTTTGCCATGCAACTATGGGTTCAGCAGTGTGAGTGGGACTAGCAGCAATGATTTTCTCACTTTAAATAATTCCCTATCCCGTTCTTCAGTTCCCAAAGGCTTCCGAAGTCTAAGGAGAATCATAGGACTACCTAGAACCTGACAGGAGAGATGGGAATTAGGGAGGGCTGTAGCTGATGATATAAGAGGAGTTGTAACGCCAACAGGATTCCAGTCAACAGGACTAAAGTTGGCGATGCTTAAGTAGCCACCCTATTAGAGATCATCAACGTAGCATCTCAGAAAGTAATGGCAATTCTGAAATATTAATCTATTCATTTCTGTAGTGCTCACACACTAAGTTTTGAAAAGGTACCAAGGAGCTAAATTTTAACAGCAGTTTACAGACGATAACAGGGTAGTTTTGGAAACAAAAAACTAGAAGCTGTATAGAAATAGGTTTCAAAACAAGACAGCTGTTAAAAAATGTAGAAATTCTCATCTTGTAAAATGTAAGAATGACATTTCGAAACTTCAGAAAATCCAGAAGTTTGCCTTGTTTGTAGCTTTCTAGTCGAATTTGCTATAGTATTCTGTGAGTTATGGTGAAATAGAAAGACGGCATGCTCTTTCACCCAGACACATGTTATTCCAATAAAAGACAGCTGTTGTCTCATTCTCTTGGACCAATATAGTGAGAACTCTTCCAGTCTGATTCTTAGGTCATGGAGGGACTGCACAATATTATTTAGCTGGCAGCGGGATCTTGAGACTAATTGGCTTCTGCTCCCATAGTTCCACTTCTTTTGTGCCAATGCTTGCTCTCCAAAACAGCTTTCTCACTAATGATGGCATATTAAAAGGGTCTTATTCTGATTGCCTGCCTTTCAAATAAAAAAACAAAGCAAACTAAAACAGAACAAAATCCAGACAGCAAAGATGGAGTGTCTGGGACCACCAAAGATTTGCCACCTTGCCCTTGTTTGTATTGCTTTATGAAGTAGCTGAGTTTTGTTATATTGGTAGTGGCAGTCAGATAATATTCTGGAAGCTGCTTAAGGTACAGCTTCAAAACTGGAATCAGGACTTTCTTCTTGAAGTTCAATCACAGATGGAATATCTATGAAAAGCATAGGATACAATCAGACTCTGCCTACAGTATGTTCCACTTCCCCTCTATGTTCACCGTCACACATTCTGCTATAATCTCTGAAGTGCCAGAAGTTTTCTTTTGGCATTTCACATTACACGGTAGGGAGATAGTATATCAAAGATGTTAATTTTGTAGATTGGACAATGGACCAGCTATTAAAAAAAAAATCTGTAGACTCAGTCTGTAGTGCAATATTTCATTTGGGAGATCAACATACATTCTTACCAGTATCATATTGATGGGAACATAAGATATGCATTACACTTATTGCATGAACAGCATAGCACACCACTTTGCCCCAATTATTCTTTAGATCAGTGGTTCTTAACCTTGGGTTATTCAGGTGGTTTTGGACTGCAACTCCCAGAAGCCTTCACCACCAGCTGTGCTGGCTGGGGTTTCTGGGAGTTGCAGTTCAGAAACACCGGAGTAACCCAAGGTTAAGAACCACTGCTTTAGATGACAACTACCTGGGCACATGGGCTAAGGGTTCTAGGAACTGTGCTCCAAAAAAGGAAACATTTTCAAACTCTTTGTGATAATGTGACAAGGTTCGTCTTTAGCCGGGGGGGGTTGTGTAGTAAAGGCGGGAAAAAGGCGCGGAGGCGAATCTGGTTCTTTGGAAACAGCAACTTTATTCGCGTGTACGCTTAATTCCACTGGATCGAACGGATCCTTCAAAACTTCATCGGTTAACAGGGTATACTTCTTAGGTCTAACAACTGGTGGACCTGTCTCTTCGTCTACCACGGGGCCGGGCCAAACTGCTCGCGATCCGTCAAAGGTCTTAAGGGTGCACTCCGGACGGCGCATATGGTCCCACAACAGGGGTGGCGGGCCCAATCCCCCTCCAAGGGCTTCTGCTGGAACTCGGGGCCCGGGCGGATAACTCTCCGTCCCCCACCATGGTAGCCCACCGGGAAGACCGAGACCCTCCATTCCAAAGGTTCGTATGTCCTACCGCGACCACTAGTCAAAGGAGGCTCTGGTAACAATCCCCCGTCTTTCAGTAGGTTCGGAAATCCTGGAGGCCCGTCCGTCTGGCTCCTTGCGTCTTTCAGCCAGTCTGTCTGCACACCTCTGTTCATGCATCTGCCCAGCTCACCTTCCCCCAGCCAACTGAACTCCCGCGCAATTTCTCCCTCTCCTTTCACCTCCTCCCACATGATCAGGTCCATCTCGGCTCCTCCCTCATCCACCAAACACACTTCAGTTGGTCTCCTTTGCAGCTCCTCCTCACACTCTATCTCTACCAGAATCCCTTCAGTACAGCCACTTGCGTCTTTCGGGCTCTCTTCTTCTGGGGACGGCACACTGGGTCCTACTCCTTCACAAACACTGAAGCTCTTTCCACACTCCATGCAATTATATACGTATTCCCATGTGCATTTTTTATGCCTAAGTATTCTGTTTTTGCAGAAACTCTCTACATACTCCATACATTTCTGTGATTTCCCCCTTATATTTGATGTTTATTAAGTGCCCCATTTTCAGTGAAGTGCTTTCCACACTGCATGCATTTATATAGTTAATCTCCTGTGTCAACTAAGATATCTGCCTTCAGTGAAGCTGTTGCCACACTCCATGCCTTTATATGCTTTATCTCCTGTGTGAGTTCTTTCATGTTTAGAAAGGCTGCTGCTTTCACTGAAGTGCCTTCCACATTCCATGCATTTATATGGTTTGTCCCCTTTGTGGGTTTTTCCATGTCTGGAAAGATGAGAACTATCACTAAAACTCTTCCCACATTCTTTGCATTTATATGGTTTCTCCCCTGTGTGAGTTCTCTCATGTCTAGAAAGGCTTCCAGTTTCACTGAAACTCTTTCCACATTGCATACATTTATATGGTTTCTCTCCTGTGTGGGTTCTTTGATGTTTTGTTAGTTTTCCACTTTCACTGAAGCTCTTTCCACATTTGATGCATTTATAGGGTCTCTCTGCTGTGTGAGTTCTTTGATGCCTCGCAAGATTCACTTTCTGACTGAAGCTTGTCCCGCACTCAGTGCATTCATATGGCCTCTCCCCTGTGTGAGTTCTTTGATGCCTCTCAAGATTCACTTTCTGACTGAAGCTTGTCCCACACTCAGTGCATTCATATGGCCTCTCCCCTGTGTGAGTTCTTTGATGTTGCTTAAGTCTTCCTTTAGCAATGAAGCTCTTTCCGCACTCTATACACTTATATGGTATCTCCCCTGTGTGCATTTTTTGATGCCTACTAAGTATTTTGCTTTCACGGAAACACTCTCCACACTCCATGCATTTATGTGTTTTCTCCCTTGTATGTATTGTTTGATGTTTAGTAAGTGCTCCATTTTCAGTGAAGTGCTTTCCACATTGCATGCATTTATATGGTTTATCTCTTGTGTGAGTTCTTTGATGTCTACTAAGATACCCGCTTTCAGTGAAGCTCTTGCCACACTCCAAGCATTTATATGGCTTCTTCCCTGTGTGTCTTCTTTCATGTCTAGACAGACTTCCACTTTCACTGAAGTTCTTTCCACACTCCATGCATTTATATGGTTTCTCCCCTGTGTGGATTCTTTGATGTATCATAAGCTTCCCGCTTTCAGTGAAGCTCTTTCCACACTCCACACATTTATACGGTTTCTGCCCTGTGTGAGTTCTCTGATGTCTGGAAAGGCTTCCACTTTCACTGAAGCGCCTTCCACAGTCCATGCAATGATATGGCTTCTCCCCTGTGTGGGTTCTTTGATGCTTAGTAAGTGTTCCATTTTGACTGAAGGTCTTTTCACACAGCATGCATTTATATTGCTTCTCCTCTGTGTGAGTTTCCTGATTTATGTAAAGTTTTCCACTTTCACTGAAACTTTCTGTATGCTCCACATGTTCATATAATTTCTCTCCTGTGTGAGTTCTCTGATGTCCGGAAAGTCTTCCACCATCACTGAAGCTCTTTAATTTTATATTATTTTGCAGTATCTTCTGCAAGACTGCAAGCTGTTTTCTACCAACTTCCTTGAGATCATCTTCTAGGAACAGGAGTTTGCCTCTTTCCACTTCTTTAAAACTTAGGGATTTCTGCTTCATATATTTTCTTTCTTCATGATTTTGAATTTTGAAGCACAACCAAAATGGCGTTGGATAACCTCCAGAATTCCAGCTATTACCTGATGGGATAGATTGCAGGGAAAATCGTATTAACAACTGTCAGAGATCAAGGATCTCATCAGAGATAAAGTTCAATTCCTTACTTATCTCATATTTCTATACCTCCATTTCCCCCTTCTTTGCCCCTTGGCCTTGGTACAACTTAGAGTACGTTTTTAAGAACTTCCTTCCAGTCTAATTTCCTAACTCATTCCACAAGGCACATCAGTTTTGATGCTTTTTCCACCTGTTATCCCAGTGCAATAATAACCTTCAGAGATTCATATAAGCAGCAACACAGAATCGCTGCAAGGCTGGGGAAGAAAAGGGAAGACCAAATAGAAAAATTGTTGCTTCTCTACGATCCTTATTAATCTGGCTGCATTCTGAAGAGATGAAGAGAACCAGCATTTGCCTGGACCCAAACAATGTAGGCTTGGACGGCTATTCATGACTGTTTGGGGGTTTCTTCACCACAGCTTCTTAATCTATTCTGATACCAACAGATACTGCCTGGTGGTTTTGTGATAATATATTTTATCCTCATCTGACCCTTTATCTCAGTTCACAGAGTCTCCATGTCTATTCTTGACTGACCTCATAAGGGTCAAGCTAGAGGCACTCAGGATTTTGTATATGCAACCCCATGGATCTTAGTTGAAGAACGCCAGAAAGACGGAGGGGGGGGGGCAAAATCCAGGCCAGCAAAAAGCAGCCAAAGAAGCAGAGGCAAGCATCATTATCACCTTCTCTGTGTCTTATAACCTTGGATGAGTTGCATCTAGAGATAAGCCAGCTTTGAGTCTATAGAGTTATGGAGTCTTCTGATAGGAATTAGCATAGAATCTGCTCATGTAAGTTGCCCTGGAAATAAGAGACCTGACAGCCTTTAAGAGATGTATAACGGTGATGATGCAGCAGGAAAGTAGTCCTCACGAGAGACTGACTGAGGAATGTGGGTTTACAGTGGTGCCTCGCTTAATGGGCACACCGTTTAACGACGAATCCGCATAGCGATCTATTTTTAGATCGTTAATGCGATCGCATTGCGATGTTCTGAATAGGCAAAACATCGCATTGCGATGATCGGTAAGCATTTCGCTTACCGATTTTCGCATTGCAATGTTTTAAACAGCTGATTGGCGGTTCCAAAATGGCCGCCAGGTGCCCAAAATGGCCACCACAAGTGTTTTTGCGCCCTGCCCTCGCTTACCGAGGTTGCAAAAATGGCGGCGCTATGGAGGAACTTCACTGAACGGTGAGTTTGGGAGCCATAGGAACGCATTAAATGAAGTTTAATGCGTTCCTATGGCTTTTTCCGTTCTGTTTAGCGATGTTTCTGCATAGCAACGATTAATCCAGAACGGATTAACGTCGGTATGCAGGGCACCACTGTATCTCGTGGCTCATTAATGCCACTGATTAAACAATAATTCTCAGAATCTTGTCAATAGTCCCATCATATACCTGAGCTGGTACCTCCCCATCTCTTCTCTTCCTCAGAGTCCAAGGCAAATCCATCTTCTCCTTTTTCCAACCTGGAGATGAGGTCTGGCTTGACCATTTCTTCCAGGGATGGTGTCAAGGGGGTCACTGCAAATGATTTAGATGTTGTGTGTTCACTTGTTGCAATTAATCTAACATACGTCTCTTAATCATCAGTGAATGCAGACCTCTAGCTAACGGAAAGCGGAAGCAACTGCACCCTAAGACTAGAAATATGATCACTGGGTGTGCACAAGGCTTAAGGGTCTAAACGTCTCCAGAACATGTTGCTTATCAAGACAAAGGGCCCAGTCCCACTCAGTG